CGTGGCAGGAGCGGCACTTTGTGCACTGGAACTGCAGATTTCGTGGCAGGCGCAGCACCTTGAGCACCTCCAGTAGCAGGTTTGGTGGCAGGAGCGGCACTTTGTGCGTTGGATGTGCAGATTTCGTGGCAGGCACAGCACTTTGAGCACCTCCACGCAGCAGGTTTCGTGGCAGGAGCGGCACTTTGTACGCAGCACTTTGAGCACCTTCAGTTGCAGGGCTCGTGGCAGGCGCAGCACTTTGTGCGCTGGAACTGCAGATTTCATGGCAGGCGCAGCACTTCGTGAACCTCGAAGCGCAGATTGCGTGAACTTCTGTCTATAAGCGCAGACTTCGTGGCAAGCGCAGCGATTGCGAACCTTGTAGTGCAGTTTGCGTGGCGTTTGTAGAGTTCTATGGATCTGAAGACCTGTGAAAAGAGCTTTTGATATCTCTGGATCTGAACATCTTTCTACACCCTCTGCAAGTATAGACTCCTAGAACTTAGATTTCAACACCTCCCTGGATCTCAAGACTCAAGACCTCTAAACCTCCATCTTTAGGTCTGTGGTTTTCTAGACCTCTACACCTGCAGATCCGTCTGGATCTCCAGGCCTCTGGATCTTTGTAGATGTATACCTCTCTGCATCTCAACCGTGATCTCTCTGAATTTCACGATGGCTCACAAAACCACAAGACCTGTGGATGGCTCACAAAAGGCCTGCTATGTTGGAATGGCACCTTCCTCCTCCAAAGTTTATGCTGACAACACGTCTGCTCCTGTAAATTTTGCCCTCGCGTGGCTCACAAAAGGTCTACTACTCCTCTAAATTTTGCTCGCAAAAGGTCTGCTACCTTGGCGTGGCACCTAAAGTTTATCCCCGGGTGGCTCACAAAAGGTCTGCTACGTTGGAATAGCAAGTTCTACCCTCGGGTTGCTCACAAAACAAAGGCCTGCTACGTTGGAATGGCAACTTCTTCCTCTAAGTTTTAACCTCGCAAGGCTAACAAAAGGTCTGCAACGTTGGAATGGCTCCTTCCTCTTCAAAATTTTGCCCTCAGGTGGCTCACAAAAGGTTACCTTGGAATGGCACTTTCTTCGTCTAAATTTTACCGTCAGGGTGCGTCTTGCCTCGAAAGTACAGACCCAAGGACCCGAAGACCAGGACGACCAAAGGACCAGAGGGCCAAAGGACCAGAGGACCAAGGACCAGAGGACCAAGGGACCAGAGGACGGGACCAGAGGGACCAAGGGACCAGGGGACCAAGGGACTAGGACAAAGGGACCAAAGGACCAAGCGACCAGGGAACCAGCAGACCAGGACCAAAGGAGCAGGGGGAATTTTATTTTTGATACGAATTAATGTATTTTTGATAAGAATTAATTTTCTTTTTGATAGGAATCAATTTTCTTTGTGATAGGTATCCCGGTTGTCGGCAGCACCACGCCGAACAGGCAAGCCAAGCTCAGCGCACAGGAAAGCATCAATTTTGTTGCCAGTCCTTCCACTCTATGCGCGGTCAACAGCATTGCTGCGCAAGAATGTGCTCTGTCCAAACCAGGCAACCACACAAGTCTCCTGAAGCATCCGTGAAGGAAACCTCACTTGATGCACATTTCACTGGCCAGAAAAAATCCAGGGCCAAAAAGGCGCCCCTGGAGCAAAAAAGGCTTGTCTGGTCCTAGGTGGCGAGAGTCTTAAGGGCGCCAAAAAGGCTCCGACTCCTCTGGTCCTACTTGTACGTTGAAGAACCGGGCGGCTAGAACTGCCATTGCCGTCACTGCAACAGGCATCCGAAGAGGAATTCAGTACGGCCAGCATGCCGTCCAGCACCAAAACGATCAGGCCCTGGTGCACCCCAAAGCGCCCCAACTCACGGCACTTGCTTTGGAGAGCTTGGATGGAGCGGAAACGCTGGTGGGAATCGGATGGCGGGGTTGGCCCCGGACTCTCGGCTTTGGCTGCGCTCTGCTCGCACTCAACCGCCATGAGCTTGGCCGTTTCAGCCTTGACGAGGATCTTCTGACTATTTTTTCATTACGGGCACTCCTTGCAGTGCAGTTTTCTTGCAAAAAAATTGTGTTCTTTTGAGTCAACATTTGCCAAGAAAATTGCATTGCCAAAAATGGCTGTACAACAATTGCATCCAGCAGGAAAGCCTGACCAATTGACAAAATATGTCAACAAAAACAAAAACTGAAAAATACAAAAGGTAAAAATATAAAACACACAAAAACATATTTCGGAGAGTCTTGACTGAACCCCCCCCCAGAGGACAAACCTCTGAAAACATTGTTTTTTGTGTTTGTTTGCTTTGTTTTGTTTTTGGTGTTTGTCGACAGGGTCCAAAATTTTCCACAGAGTGCTCTCCTGGTAGTGCAGCTTTCTTGACAAATGTTAAGTTTCCTCGCAAATGTGTGTTCTTTTGGGTCAACATTTGTCAAGAAAACTGCACTGCCGGGAGGGCACCCTGTTAAGATTTGTCAAGACAACTACACTGCGAGGAGGGCACTCTGTTAACCTTTGTCAAGAAAACTACACTGCCAGGAGTGCACTCTGCAGAAGATTCTGCATTTTGTGTCAGACGTTTGTCCTCTGTGCGGGGGGTTCAGTCAAGACTCCCAAAATATACCTTTTTGTGCTTTCTCAAGGTGTTTTTGGTTTTGCCCCATGGGGCCTGTATTTATGTGTTCCATAAAAGGGGTGGTTTTTCAATTGGCAGATAAGTATATATTGCATACAATGAATGAAAACACACATCTCTGGAAAATCTACTTTCGCAGAGATCCAGAGGAAAACTATAAAAATGACAGCTTTCAATCAAGGCTGTTCAATATAGAAGTGATCAATCCCAGGGATCTGGAGGTAAGTTTGTGAAAAACACTTTTATATATGGTTGTGCAAAGTTTTCCAAATATGAAAATATTTATTCACAGAGATCCTTTCTTGTGAAATACACAGCTTCTATATATAATCTTTAAACAATTCATCATGCCCAAAGATCTGGGGGACAGCTATTGAAATGCACGCTTTTACAAAGCTTTCTCAATATAGAAATGGTTATTCCAAATATTACTTGAACAAGTCTATCTGTCTACTCAAAAGCAGTGTTTTGACCTAGCTCCCAGCACTCCCAGGGCAAGAAAACACTGTAAACACATAATGTTATAGCATTTTGTCTTAAACGCACACCCCCAGCAACACCTGCCCTCTGGAATTAGACTTGACCAAGAATCAAACTTGAATTGAACAAGAATTAAATTCGAAATAAAATTGTCCACATTCCATTTTAACAAACTGAGATTAGGCTTGAATGGAGTTATATAAATTGGACTTGAGTTAACTTCTAAGTTATTATTGAATTTGAAAGAAAATTGAACTAGCATGCGTGTAGCGTTGAATTGGCGCTGAATTGGAATGAACTTACAATTGAGTTAGGTATATATGTTTGTTTATTTATTTTAAACAATCCATTTGTCATACCAAATGGGCCAAAAAGCACGCTGCCACAAGTACCCGCTCTCACTTTTTTCGGGGGGGGGCGTTCTCTCACGGACAACAACACAGGCAGTCCACAGGACCTGCCCGCGCTAGTGAAGGCTACGCTACCTTCTGCTGCTGGTCTGCTGCTTACGGTGCTTGTCGAGGCAAGAGATGGGGTTGCACGCGCCCACCACCACCAAAACTACAATACTGCCCTTGACCAACTCTGTGGTGCAGGCACATGCTCCAAAAACAGAACCCTAACAACAGCTGCACGGAATCGGCACGACGTCCCACACCGATTCCAAGGAGGCAAAGAAACACTGGACAAGCAAACAACCACTCAGAGACGAAGGACACATCCAAATGAGAACCAAGGGCCTTCACCGTTTCCCAGTGTTGAAAGAAACCGTTTCGGGAAAGAATAGCACCATTCTGCCCTTCTGGAAACCAATTCAACCTATGTGGGACTCAAATCCGAAGCCGTGCGATGTTCGGGTGGATCCAACCTGTCAGATGGGCCCCAACCTGTCAGGATGTGGAGAAGCTTCGAACCAAAGCGACATGAGTCTATGATATCCCTCTCCGATGTCTCCGGAACCGACGTCATCGTCGCTGCTGCCGTTGCTCCCCAAAGAAGAGGTTCCAAACAGCCACTCGAAGGTGGGTCAGGTGGATATGTTGAACAATACCATCTTCAGTCGAACGGAAAATGGTATGACAACCCATGCCCATGCCAAGAAAAGACCAAAACGAACCCTGCGCCAGTTTCGCGCAGTCTTCATCTCAGAGGCGTCATGTTCCTCATCATCAAAGTTGAAGACAAAGTCGGCATATTCAGTTCGGACTTCGGGAACTTGATAGTCCTTCACCCGGAAGTCCACATGCCTTTGCTCCTGTGACGTTTTCGTACATAGATGGTGGGACGGTCCAAGCAAGCTATTTATATTGTCAATTGTTGAAGGATGAAGAAATGTACGAAGGACGCAACACTAACAGCAGACAGCTTAGGGCCTAGGGTCAACACGCGTCTGAAGGCAAGTTCTCCTGTGCGGCCCTGTGGTTTCACATGCGGTTCGATCTGTTTTTCACAATGCAAATGTGCTCTCAGACTTTTCTCTGAACACAAAAAAAGTGGAGGTCTGGAGCAAACATCTCTTTCACCAACGGTTTTGAGTCCCAGCTTGGAAAGCAACCTTCTTCCCTGCCAACAAGTCCCCCGTGCATGGTTGCAGTTCCGTTCTCGAACGGCCCAGGCTGTTCACTCTTCAAAGTCGTTGCTTTCCGCGAGCACCGCACCCCACCCAGCCCTCGGATCATCCGAACGCGCAGGTCTACGTGGAGCTCGTTCTTCAGCGAGTTCGGCGCGTCCGCTTCACCCCCGCACCCAACCAGACCCCGATCCGCATTGTGGCACTGTGGCATGTTTAAAGATGCACGTCTCTCTCTCTCTCTCTCAGAAGAAGAAGAAGAAGAAGAAAAATGAGATAGAAAAATGATGGAACAATGCACACTCTTCACACCCATGTTCGTGACACACAGAAACCCCTAAAAACGACAGATAAAACTTGTGTCGTAAATCCATGCTGTGTCAACAAAAATCCCAATGCTAAGCCTAAAGCCAACTAGATTACTCTGACCACAAAACTCCCTTTATATCTCCTAAACCACACAGCATTCAATCTCTCCTCTCCCTCATTGAAGCGTGCCATGCCAGGTGATCTGAACCCTGGCTGCGTCGTCTCATCGCAGCTGGGCTTGCTGTAGCTCGCCGGCCGGTCCGACGCCATGCCGGGGTGGCTGGGGGTCCACGTCATCATGTACGGCGCAGCGCCATCGCCTGGGGCGCCGCCCGGTCCGACGGCGGGGCGCGCGGGTTGAAGGCGCGGGTGGAAGGCGCTGGGAGGGCGACCGGGCGTTAACTTCGAAGGGTGATCTGGCAGGTCGAAGGGTTTGCTCTAGAGAACATCGGATCTGGCAGCAAACATGATCCTCAGCGGAAAGCCTGAAACCCTGGAACCCTTCAGCCAAGAGATTTATACACCGACTGGGATTGCTAAATAAGGTCGTGTTTGCTGTTCAGTTCTTCCGCTTCTGTTCGTTGGGTATCAAGCTTCCATCCTCCACTTCAGAGCTTCCGAAAAAACCCTCGCATCGCTCATTCTCCACGGTGCCTTCCTTCCAAGCACAGCAGGGATCTCCAAGCTCCTACGGCCACAAGGCTTCCATCTCAAGGGGCCACAAGAGGTGGTCAACTGCGAACGGCACAGATGGAACGGAAGAGGATCTACCCCAGCAACCGACGGGTGTGGTCGCAAAAACGAGCCCCCCAAAGCGCCAGGGCCCCAAGTTCAAAACTGAAACAAGGCCCATCCGTCTCTTCGCCTACCACCCATCCGTCAAACTGCCGACCCATGCAGCTACCACTGCCCATCCCATCCACCATGTCCATTCGAGTCGTCCATCCCCCATCCCACCTGGTCTGTTCCAAGAACTCTCTCAAGCGAACGTCCATCACAGCCTGTGCCCTCCTGTGGCCTCCTGCTCTCCTGTGCCCTCATCCATCCCTGCAAATCTCTCCTCGCCATTGGTGAGGCCATCCCCATCGCTATCCGCCATGCACAGCTGCTCCGTCCAGCGATACTCGTTCGCCTTCAGCGCCTCGCCAAAGACGTTCAGCGGCATCGAGGCACCCGCGCAAGTTGCGTGGCCTTGATTAACGTGGTGCGACATGGGGTTTCAGGAATTGGTGGTGGTGCCATGATCATGTCGACTCTTGATTGACGTCTGATTTCAAGCCCCCCATTTGGATTCCACTGTCCGTTCTTCGGGATGTGTTCCCAACAACGAACATGTGGACGTCTCATTTGTCAAACAAATAGACATCAGACATCAGACAACATCTTAATATATATATATATAATATATAATTAATAAATCCTCATAGCATCCTGTTAATCATCGTGAATAATCTCAATATCTTCACAGATCCTGATGCCCCGACTCCTCCACAGCATCTGACCTCTTTCCCCCCAACCTCCATGCCAGGTCACCTAAGCCACGGCACACCGAGTCCGGCTCACCCAGACTGGCATCGCCCAGGTCGCATCCCGTGGCGCCGCTGGGGCACGGCACTCGGAGGCCGTTGGGCACGTGGTGCCGGAAGGAGGGGAAGCTCCGTGCCGTGGTCACCAGCGCCGCCAGCCACAGGAAGCCGTGCTTCGCCATGGGGCGAGCGGTCGCGACCGACTTCGAGCGCGTGCTCGGGGGAAACGAGCGCGTGTGGAGCTAAGATGCTGCCGGGAGGAGGTGCACCGCCCGCGGTTCTTGGCCACTGCTCCGTGAACAAGCTGGGGGCGGGGCGTTCGAAAGAAGCGACTTCGAGTTCTGAAGCGTCCTCGACTGGAATCCTTGGAGGTCTGATTCATCAGAGATACAGACCGACATGGTCCGTCCAGCCACCAAGCCTGTCGGACGTCAGAAATAGGGATCGGACCGGACCGTGGGTTTGATAAAGCCAAAGTCATCCCGCCACAGAGGTGCTACTCTCTTGTAGGTCTGCAAAAGGACAAAGCCACACTACTAGCCGCACTCCCCTGGTCAAGAAGTTCAAGACTGCAGCCAAACATTCATTTCATTTAACCCAAAAACCTCTGAACTTCTTGACATTCTGCGGCCAGACATAAGCGACATAAGCCATAAGCGGCTTAATCCAGCCTGCTCATCTCCTTAAGCCTCTGAACCCCACCAAACCGACCCGCGAATACTTTGCGCGACTCGCTTGGACAGGACATGCGTTTTGGACACTTGATCAGGCCTTGCTTGAATGCTCAATTGTGACCTTTTCTATCCTTTTCCAATGCTGTACAAACTCGACTGTGAATCTCACGTTCCAACAGGGCCCACACGGCCACTGAATTTGGTGTCTTTACATCCGCACCGGCGATCAAACCCCGCGATGTTGGGCGTGAGAACATCATTGGGCTCTTCCAAGTCCCAAAGACAAGGATCGAAGGCGGTCTGTGTTGCTGTCACTTTTGCGAATGAAAGCGAACGTCCACGTTCCTTTCGGGACCATGAAAGAGTCTCCAAACGTTGCCGCCGGCCGCCGTGTTGAAACACAGCGAGCTTGGCGTGAGCGCAGCTCTTTCTGTCTCGCGCTTTGGCGCTGTCACCACCTGTGGTGAGCACAGAGGAGCCGGCGACACTGTATAGTCGCATTCTATGTGATGCGAGACCAAGCATTCCTTCTACGTGAGCTTCTCGAAGAAAAACCCCCTGTCATTAGGAAGGGTTCTTCGTGGAGCTGCTGAAAAAGAACTGTCATTTTCTTCCGATCTTCAAACATCTCACATGCCTTCGTCTTCTTCCACATCTGTGTCCTAAGTCACAGCTCGTGTCACCTGAAACTCTTCCAATCCACAGCTCGCGTCACCTGTGGCACAACACCCCCCCCCCCGCAAAACCCCGGTGTCCCCGCGGAAAGCGCCTTCCAGGGGCTCCGGGTTTATTGCGTCGGTAAACGGTGTTTTTTGCGACGGTGCACATGTACCGGTGTTTTTTGCGTCGGTGCTGGAACGGTGTTTTCTGCGTCGGTTGGCCGGTGTTTATTGCGACGGCCCCGGGGTTTGTCGCGTCGGCAAACAGTGTTTTCTGGGACGGTTGGTGTTTTTTGCGTCGGTAACGGGTGTTTTCGGCGTCGGCTGCCTCCTCCTCTTCCTCCTCCTTCTCCTGCTCCTGCTGCTGCTCCTCCTTCTCCTCCTCCTTGTTCTTCTTCTCCTCGTCCTGCTCCTCCTTCTCTTCCTCCTTTCCTCCTCCTCCTCCTCCTCCTTCTCCTCCTCCTCCTCCACCTCCTCCTCCTCGTCCTCCTCCTTTTCCTTGGCCTCTTCCTCCTGCTCCTCCTCCTCCTCCTCCTGCTCCTCCTCCTCCTCCTCTTCTTCGCCTCCTCCTCTTCCTCCTCCTCCTTCTCCTCTCTTCTTCCGCCTGCTCCTCCTCCAGGCGCTGCGCCCTCCCCCCGATCCATCCCTCCCGCTTTTTTATTGTAGCAACTCCCGTATACGCAGTACCCACCGTAGCAACACCAACAACAACA